TCAGATTTGGGGAGTTTCTCCCTTTATTTTTTTAAATAATCATTCTGCCTTTTCTATTTTCTCCTTTCGAGACTCTCTTAATACAAATATGGTTCTTTTAATGGTGTTTATACACCACTGGTGTATAAATGTGTATAAAATTGTGTTTTATATGCCATACACTCTCTTAATACAAATTGGTTCTTTTAATGGTGTTTCATAAGTTCCACAGTCCGTCTTCTATTCCTTTTTATTTTTTTTCTCTTTTCTCCTCTCACTACATAATTTCATATGATCTGTCTTCAAATTTGCTTATTTTTCCTTCTTTTTGGTCAATACTTCTGTTGAACTTCTTTATTGCATGTTTCAGTTCAGTCATTGTATTCTTCAGGTCTAAAAATTCTTGTTTTGTTAAATGTTTTCTTTTTGTTAAACTTCTCATTTTCTTGCACTTTTTCCTGATTTCATAAATTATTTATTTGTTTTATCATATAGCTCACTCAGCCTTTTTTAGAACAATTATTTTAAATTCGTTATCAGACAATTTGTAGATCTCTATTTCTTTGGAGTTTATTGTGTTACTTTAAGTGTGTCATGTTTCTCTGATTCTTTGTGATCCTTATAGCCTTGTGTAGGTGTCTGTACATTTGAAGAGGCAGACTCTTTTTAGAATGTAAAGACTGGTTTCTTTATGAAAAGACTTTCACCTAGGGGATGGAATGTGGCATACTGGAGTGTGCTTTGGCAGCAGGTCTATTAGTGTGGAGTGCCAAATGTGAGGGCTTATGGTGTCTCCAAGTCTGTGGGGATGTGGAGTATCTAATCAACTCAGGCATCTGGGTTTTTTTTTTTTTTTTTTTTTTTTTGAGACAGAGTCTCACTTTGTTGTCCAGGCTAGAGTGAGTGCCGTGGCGTCAGCCTAGCTCACAGCAACCTCAAACTCCTGGGCTCGAGTGATCCTTCTGCCTCAGCCTCCCGAGTAGCTGGGACTACAGGCATGTGCCACTATGCCCGGCTAATTTTTTATATATATATATCAGTTGGCCAATTAATTTCTTTCTGTTTATAGTAGAGAAGGGGTCTCGCTCTTGCTCAGGCTGGTTTTGAACTCCTGACCTTGAGCAATCCGCCCGCCTCGGCCTCCCAAGAGCTAGGATTACAGACGTGAGCCACAGCGCCCGGCCTGGCATCTGGGTTTTATTGACATTGGCAACTGGGTGGTCCTTGGTAGCAATTGCTGCAGGAGGTCTACAGTGGCAGCAGGTATTTTTGGGTTCCTGAAAAGACTCTCTGAGTATAGCAAGAAGGTACAGGAGCAGGCCATGGGTATGGGAGCTTGGGCCAGTAGTAGGCATGTGTTTGGCTATAGGAACTGGCTTCAGGCATATGTGTGGTGGTGGAGGTCAGTGCCAAGAGCAGGAAATGGGGCCAACTACAGACACATGCACGACTCTTAGGGCCAGTGGTATGCGTGTACATAGCTACAGGACTCAGAGCTTGTGGCACGCATGTACATGGCTGCAGGGGCCAGTTGCAAACTTGCACATAGCAGTGGGGGCTTGTAACAGGGCTCAGGCTACAGGGATCAGCTTCAGGTGCTAAGCACACTGGTGAATAAAGGAAATGTAGGGCAAGACTGGCTGCAAGTGCACATGCGACTGCAAGTGCTGATATTGGCAGTAAATATGCATGTGGCCACATGGGCCATCTGTTTGCACATACTTGGCTATGAGACCTAGCAATGGGGGGTGGGGCCAACTGCACACATGCCCATGGCTGTGTGGTGATGGAAGCTGGGACCTGTGGTGGGGCCCAGGCTGTTTGTTGGCTTGTGCACTGCACTGTGGCTATGCTAGGTCACTGGGCTGGGGTTTTCTTGGCAACAGTGGCTGGTAAGGCTCTAGGGATAAGGTGGGGAGAGGATTAGCATCTTAGGCAGCTAGAGACAGCAAGGGTGATAAACTGCTGAACTGCAGGGTGTTAGTGAAAGCTAAGGAGTCCCCTGTGACTTTGCTGGCTGTTGGTTTTCTTGGTGCTGAAAGCTGCTGTGTCCTCTGTAGAGCAGTTGGTGGCATTTGCAACGGTGAGCACTGTGGGGTCCTCGGCAGTGAAATCTGTGTGTATGTGTGCATGTGGTGGTGGTGGGGCAGTGTACAGTGGCCCTGAGGTCTGTTGAGGTCTTCAGTGGAGAAAGCTCCTGGGGTCCTTTACAGAACAGGGCCCTGGGACCCTGATACTGATAACCCCCACCCTTCTTTATTCACATCATCACCAGATGTCTCAGATTCCTCGATCTGCCCACCAGTCTGCATGGGAGGAAACTGAGGCAGGTCATTTAGGCAGTGTTCTGAATGGCTGGGGAAGCTGTGTTTTCACCCCGCTCTCCTTTTCCCTGGGTGGTGGGGGTACTCAAGAGCTAGGGCCTTTCATGTTGAGTGGTGCCAATCTGGGAGATATGATGACGCAGACCAAACAAAACTGTTCTTCTTATCTTTTTTTGTGTGCACTTATTCTCAGGTTTTTTTGTTGCACGTGTTGCTGTAGCTTTTTAAGTAGACTCCTAGGCTCTTCTGTAGTAAATTTTGTTTTTAGAAAGCTAATTGTTGTTGTTTATGGTGGGGACAAAGGCTGAGATCTCCTGCTATTTTGCTGACTTCCAGAACATTTCATCATTTCTAACTGAAACTCTGTACCCATTAAATAACGATTCCCTATTACCTCATCCTCCTAGCCACTGGTAACCACTATCCTACTTTCTGTTTCTAGAAATTTGACTATTCTGGGTACCTAATATGAGTGGAATCATACAATATTTGTCATTTTGTGTCTGGCTTATTTCATTTAGCATAATGTTTTAAAGTTTATCCATATTACAGCATACATCAATTTTTAAAAAAATTATTTGTTTTTAATAGACTTTACTTTTTAGAGAAGTTTCAGGTCCACAGAAAAATTGAGTGGAATGTATGGAGATTTGCCATATTCACTCTGCCTGCCCCCTCCACAGCCTCCTCCGTGACTATCAACATTCCACACCAGCATGGTCCATTTGTTACAATTGATAAATTTCTATTGACACATCATTGTCACCCAAAGTCCATAGTTTACATTAGGGTTTGCCTTTGGTTTTTGTACTTTATGGTTTTGACAAATGTGTAATGCCATGTATCCACCATTGTAGTATTGTACAGTACAGTTTCACTATCCTAAAATTCTCTGTGCTCCACCTGTTTATCCCCCTCTTCCTACTAACCTCTGAAAACCAGTCATCTTGTTACTGGCTCCATAGTTTTGACTATTCCAGAAAGTCATATAGTTGGAATCATACAGTGTATAGCCTTTTCACATTGGCTTCTATCACATAATAATATGCTTTTAAGGTTACTTCATGTCTTTTTGTGGCTTGATAGCTCATTTCTTCTTATCATTGAAGAATATTCCATTGTCTGAATGTACCACAATATATCTATTCATTTACCTATTAAAGGACATCTTGGTTGCTTTCAAATTTGGGCAATTATGAATAAAGCTGCTATAAGCATCCACATGCAGGTTTTTGAATGAATATAAGTTTTTAACTTCTTTGGGTAAATACCAATGAATGTGATTGTTAGATCTATCACATGGTAAGAGTGTGTTTAATTTTGTAAGAAACTACCAAATTGTCTTCTAAAGTGACTACCATTTTGCATTCCCATCAGCAATTAATGAGAGTTCCTGTTGCTCCACATTTTTGCCAGCATTTGGTGTTGTTAGTGTTTTGGATTTTGGCCACTCTAATAAGTATTTAGTAGTATCTCATTGTTGTGTTAATTTGCAAGTTCCTATTTATGTATGTTGTGCATCTTCTCATGTGCTTATTTGCCATCTGGATGTCTTCTTCAGTGAGGTGGCTGTTCAAATCTTTTGCCTCTTTTTATTTGGGTTGTTTTCTTACTTATTTTTGAGTTTCAAGAGTTCTTGGTATGTTTTTTATACCAGTTATTTCAGATACACGTTTTGTAAATATTTTTTTCCCAGTCTATAGCTTGTCTTCTCATTCTCTTGATGTATCAGAATTTCATTTATTTTTAAGGGCAAATAATATACTAATGCATGTATATATCACATTGCATTTATTGGTTTATCTACCTATTCATAATCACCTTTTTGTGATTATAAATAATACTACCATGAATATTGGTGTATAAATATCTAACTCCCTGCTTTCAATTTTTGGGGGTAGATACCCAGAAGTGGAATTTCTGGATATCTCTTTGCTTTGAAAAATTCCTTGATAGCACAACTAAGCAATTATACTCAATTTTTATTTCTGTGAACAAAGTAGTCATGTAGCACTCACAATAAGCCACCATTATAACAATCTTTGCTCTTTGTGTGGCTTTACCATTTCTTGTTAGTAAGTGAAGAATGAATCAGCAGTCTGCCAGCTTTAGGAAAGCAATTATGATCCTTGACTACAAATGGATTTGCCTGAAGGGAAAGGGAAGTGAATAGAAGCAAATGGCAATTTATAAAATACCTCTTTAAAAATATAAGTGATGCCTCATTGTTCCCAACTGAAAGGATAAATCCTGATTTCAAATAGAGGTCTGATAAAAGTAGATTAGAATAAAAAGCCCTAAAAAAGGATCACAGAGAATCCAAATGAAATCTAATTCCCTGCTTCCTCATAACCTAAAAATACCAAAAGCGGCAGCAGTATAATATGGTTATATTTTCTATGCAAAAAATAAAATTTTCTATTTTTCTTAAAATGCCAAGAAATAGGGATCGCATGGAGATTTGCAATATCAACATAAAAAAAGAAATTCTTTTAGATATGTAGCCTTTGGCTAGGGTAACATTTTTATCAGGTGTGCATTGAAATTACATTGAGTTTATGATCTGAATATAAAGCATGTATTTTGTATCTGAAGTCTAGAAAATAATTATGACTTTTCACTTAATATCTTCTAAAAATAAAAATATATTTAAGTAATATAACTAAACTTTATATTAAAAATATTATTCTTGGACAGGTTGAAGATGCTGGACTGCACAATGCTGCTGTCATGAAGGCAATCAGAAATGGCAAATAGATATCCACCTTTGGATTGATCATCTGAGAGTACTGGGAAATCATGGACAGGAGGCAGGAGTGAAGTGAAGAAGGTAGAAGTGGGACAAGCTGCTCAGCAGCACGGGAGGTAATTAGGGGAGGTGTCTACAAGTAGGAAAGGGACAGAGGAGAGAATGCCCAGCTCCATGCATCCCCTGAGGATATTGCAACTGAAGTGGCAGGAGCCCCCCCCCCAACAGGCCTCCAGATTGATACAGAGACTGATTGGAGCCTGTGCAGTTGTGTTGCTCCTGAGAGAAGGGATGGCTTGCAAGCCCTGGGCACTGCCACTGGTGCCACTGTAACATGCCAACCCTGGAATAATACTTTTGTCCAGGGGTCAGATCTGTGACTACTGCTGTACCCTTGCCTCTGCCAGACAGGGAGGCAGTAGGGACTCCTAGCACTCACGTGTGCCTGTGGATAGATGTTGTACATTCCTGCTGCTGCTACTGCTGCCGGGGTCCCTGGAGTGAGAAGGAGACATTGGGCCCAGTGTCCACTGCTGTGTCCTGGGTGATCCCATTCAACCACACTTCCCATTGGACTCAGTGGCACATGTGCTCATAGCCTTTGATGTCCACTGTCCACTGTTGGGGAAGTGGAACTACTGCCACCATTGCCACTACTTGAGAGGCCTCCAGTGCAGCCACTGCTTTTGGATCTGGGAAGACTGTATGTCATGGACCTGTGCCATTTTCCACAGGTGCCCTGCAGGCACCCTCTCCTGCCCATGCATCCTTCCCCACAATACCCTATGGACCAGCTCCATCCCACAGAGGTTCCCTGCCTGATGGATCTGTTCTGTCCCAGGGTCCTGCTCCACCCTGTGCTTGGCACTGGGGGCCCACTATGCCCTACACCACACTCTGCACTCACCTTGCTCTGCCCACATGCTTGGCACCTCAGCCACTCAGGCCTACATACATGCACCCAGAAAACCTCCTCCATCCTGTGCTCTTGCCCTGTCCTGTTGGCCAGCCCCACTTTGTGTGCACAGCTGGCACTAGAGGTCAGCCCTGCCACAGTGGCCCAGTGATAACCACAGGAGAACAGGGGAGATGTAGCAGAGCAGCTGTTTATATTCCACTAAAGGTTCATAGTACATCTGCCCATCTCCTGGTGGTCAAGCTTCTAGAGTAGGATCCAAGCACACCATCCAGGGACCCATCCTACCTTTACCAAGAAATGGAGGTCCCAGCAGAGGAGAACAGGCACCATATCTGCTATCTGTTTTGAGCTGAGAGAAGAGGCCTCAGATGAGAAGGAACCAGCATAAAAACTCTGGCAACATGAAAAAACAGGATGTCTCAACATCCCCAAAGGATCACAATAGCTCTCTAGCAATGAACCCCAACCAAAAGGAAATTGTTGAAATCATAGATATGGAACTCAGACTATGGGTAGCAAGTAAGATAAATAGAATTGGAGAAATGGTAAAAAAACAAACAAAAAAACCAAAAAAACAAAAAAACATCTCAAATAAACCAGAAAAATAATTCAGGATATGAATAAAAAATTCACAAAGGAGATATATAACATTAGTAAAGAGATAATAAAACTTAAAGGAATGAAAGAGTCATTTAGGGAATTTTAAAATATAGCAGAAAGCTTTAACAACAGGCTAGGCCAAGCAGAAGAAAGAATGTAAAAGCTTGAAGACAAGGATTTTGAAGTTACCCAGTCAGTAAAATATGTAGAAAAGAGAACAAAAAAGAATGAACAATCACTGAGAGAAATATGGGATTATGCCGAACAAACAAATGTAAGAATTATAGGTATCCCTGAGGGAGATGAAGAAAAAGCAATTAGGATGGAAAACCTATTTGAGAGAATAATAGAGAAAAACTTCCTTGCTATTGCTAGAGGTTAGATATCCAGACACAAGATGGTCATTGAACACCTGGAAGATTCATAGCAAATAGGACATTATCAAGAAATAGAGTCATCAGTCTGACCAAAGTCAAAGTGAAGGGGAAAATCTCACAAGATGTGAGATAAAGCCAAATCACTTACAAAGAAAAACCCATCAGACTGACAGCACTTCTCAGCAGAAACCTTTCATGCCCAAGGGGATTGTAGTTCCATTTTTAGTCTTAAACAGAATAACTGCCAGCCAAGAATTTTGTATCCTGCAAAACTAAGTTTCATAAATGAAGGAGAAAGAAAATCTTTCCCAGATAAGCACACACTAAAGGAATTTGTCATCACTAGACCTGACCTACAGGAAATGCTTAAAAGTATTCTATACATGGAATCAATACCTAGCAGTATAAAAACATTCCAAAATTAAAGTTTACAACCCTTATAAAACATTAGCACAATGAGAAAACAAAGCAAGTAGGTACCACTTAACATGATAAGCTGAACAGTATTGTATATATTGATGCTAACATTGAACTGTCTCTAGTAGACATAAGCAAAGAAATAAACAGCAACATCATAATTATTGGAAACATTAACACTTCACTGACAGAACTGGACAGATCACCAAGGCAGAAGATTGACAAAGAAACACTGGACTTAAAGAGAACTCTAGAACAAATGGACCTAATAGACATCTACAGAAAATTCTACTGAAAGACAGTAGAATGTACATTCTTCTCATCAGCACATAGGACATTTTCCAAGATAGAACATATGTTAGCCCACAAAACAACTCTCAGCAAATTCAGAAAAATCAAAATCATTCCATGTATCTTTTCAGATTACAGTGGAATAAAAATAGAAATCAACTCTAAGAGGAACTCTCAAATCTATACAAAGTTATGCAAATTAAACAAACTGCTGCTGACCAATCCTTGGGTCAATGACAAAATTAAGGTGGAAATCAAAAGATTTTTTGAACTGAATGGCAATCATGGCACAAGCATTTAATATCTATGGGATTTAACACAGTCAAAGCAGTGTTAAGAGGGAAGTGCCCAGCCTTAAATGCTTACATCTAAGAGACAGAAAGATCACAAATTAACAACACAATATTGTACCTGGAAAAACTAGAAAAAGAAGAGCAGACCATACCCAAGGCTAGCAGGAAAAAATAAATAACAGAGCTCAGAGCAGAACTAAATGAAATGGAAACCAAAAAAACAATACAGAGGATCAATGAACTCAGAAGTTGGTTGTTTGAAAAGATTAACAAAATCAATAGACCTCTAGCTAGATTAACCAGAACCAGAAAGGATCCAAATAAGTTCAATAAGAAATGAAAAAGGATACATTACAACTGATACTACAGAAATACAAGATATCATCCACAAATTCTATGAAAACCTTTACACACATAAACTAGATTAGAGGAAATGGATAAACTTTTGGAAACACATGACCTCCCATGCATGTATCAGTAATAAACAGAAATCCTGAATAGAAAAATAATGAGTAATGAGATTGAAGCAGTAACAAAAATTATCCCAACAGAAAAAAGCCCCAGACAAGATGGATTCACAGTCGAATTCTACCAGGCCTACAAAGAAAAAATGGTACCCATTCTGCTGAAACTATTCCATAACATTGAGAAGAAAGGAGTCCTCCCTAACTCATTCTACACAGCCAGTATCACCCTGATACCAAAGCAAGAAAATGACACAACAAAAAAAAAAGAAAACTACAGACCAATATCCCTTTTGAACACAAGATAGAAAAATCCTAGAGATGTAGAACAATGGAACAGAATAGAGGACCTGGAAGTAAAGCCATATAGGTATGACCAGCTGAGTTTTGACAATGAAGACAAAAACATACACAGGGGAAAGGATGTCCTTTCAATAAATGGTTCTGGGAAAACTAGATAACCACATGCAGAAGAATTAAACTGGATCCCTCTTTTTCACCATATATAAAAATTACCTCAAGGTGGATTGAAGACTTTAATGTAAGATTTTAAACCATAAAAATTCTAAAAGAAAATGTAGGAAAAACTATTCTAGACTGTGGTCTGGGTAAAGAATTTATGAGTAAGACCACAAAAGCAAATACAGCAGCAATAAATATAAATAAATGGAATTTCATTAAATTAAATAATTTCTGCACAGCAAAGGAAATAATCAACAGAGTAAATAGACAATCTACAAAATGGGAGAAAATATTTGCAAACTATACATCTGAAAAAGCACTAATACCCAGAATCTACAAATAACTCAAACAAATCAGCAAGAAAAAATGAAACAACCCTATTAAAAAGTGTGTAAAAGACAGGAACAGAAGTTTTTGCAAAAAATTAGACAAATGACCAACAAACATATGAAAAATGCTCAACATCACTAATAGTTAGGGAAATGCAAATTAAAACTACAATGAGATACTACCTTACTTCTATCATGACCTATAATGGCCATTATTAAAAAGTCAAAACACAGTAGATGCTGGCATGGATGCAGAGATAAAGGAATGCATATACATTGTTGGTGGGACTGCAAATTAGTACAACCTCTATGGAAAGCAGTAATGGAGATTCCTCAAAGAAACAAATGTAGACCTACAATTTGATCCAGCAATCCCATTGCTGAGTATCTGTGCAAGGGAAATAAAGTCATTTTATCCAAAAGATACCAGCACTTGAATGTTTATCACAGCACAATTCACCATTGCAAAGATATGGAATCAACCTAAGTGCCTTTTAGTTCATGAATGAATAAAGAAAAATGTAGTTTATATATATATACCAAGGAGTACTACTCAGCCATAAAAAGGAATGAAATAATGTCATTTGCAGCAATGTGGAGGAAACTGTAGACCGTTATCCTAAGTGAATTATCTCAGAAATCAAAAACCAAACACCATATGTTCTCGCTGATAAGTGGGAGCTAAGATATGGATACATATGGACACAAAGCAATATAAAGGATATGAAACCAAGTAGGGGGGAGGGCAGGAGAGTTGGTGTGGGATAAAACTTACCTATTGGGTACAATGAACACTATTTTAGTGGCAGGCACACCAAAAGCCCTGACTTTAGCATTATACAAGATATTCTTGTAACAAAAACACATGTATGCCCTTAATTAATATTTTAAAATTAAAAACAATGTAATTAAAAACTACAGCAAAGTGTTCATTGCTTTCCTATGATTTGCATGGTACTCTGAT